GTTTTAGACTTAAATTTGGTCTCTTTAGAACAATTTATTGTCATCTGTTTTGCTAGCATTAAAATTTCACCTATTTACTCGCCTTCAATTGCCCTCCGTGATATAGCTCTCTTTGCAACTTCTAAAATTTTTACTGCTAAACTCCGCTCGAAATTAAAAACGGGGGTTTTTTCTCACTAAATCCTTGTCGTTGGTCATTTAATTTTGAAACCACTTGGTGGCGTAACAATGTTTTAGCTTCGGTTGTTGTCAATAAACTTTTTATCCATTGTTAGCCCCCTGATAGTATAGCTTGATCTCTCTCTTCAATATCTGAGCAATATCCCACTCAGTGTTTCCGAGACCTCCCTTTGTGATTAATTTGGCTGTCTGGGTCTTGCTAACATTGATGAAAACGCCTTACGCCATCTTAGAATTGGCGATTTTGTTGCCTCGTTCCAAATAAACTAGAATACACAAAAAGGCCCTTCAAATAACTATACCTCAAAGTCATACATTATTGTATTGATGAACCCCTACTTGTATATACACCCAGTCTTCGCGTAAGCTGTAAATTTTTGGACTGGTTTATATTTTACTTATATCAATAATATTCATTTATAAATAATACTCTTTTCTCACGTATGTATCTTATATATTGTAACATTAATGTCAATTAGAATTGTATATCACTTAAATATATAACTCACATTTTATACTACTTTTTTCTATTCGTAAATTCGTTTTATTACCATCGCACTTGTTAACTGCTTAATTTCTTTCATTTAAAACAATTGTGAACATTATCATTGTGAAATTAATTATATTAACTTTGTATATAATAAATTGTAAATACTTGTTTTGTTCAATTATACGGGCGCTGGCATGTGACAGGCTCAAACAGAAAGAAAAGTGATCAAGAAGGCGTTTTTTCCAGGATGAGGCCCGTCCATTGCAGATCGGTTGGGTAACTCGACCAAACGATTTCTGGTAGTGGGGACCTGCGTTCGCGCTAGTCCCCTCACAATTGTCTAAAGAATCCAGCCAACGCAAGCACCATCCCACAAGCAGTTCCTCAAAAAAAGCCGCCAGATGCGACTTCTTGATCACTCACAACATCACAAAAGAGGTATATTGTCATACAAAGACTTGTCATTGTTTGCTTTGCCTTTGTCTGCCTTAACCTGGCTCGTCGTCTGCTGTAGTAATGTTGCCTTAAATCTGATGCTTTGAGACAGGACAATCAGTGTTTCTGAAATGTTATGGCTTTAGTATGCCTATCTTGTAGCATTTGATAAAAAAGGCCAAATTGATTCAGGCATAAGTTCTACAGCGCGCTGTTGCTCTGTGTTTTTGTGCTTATTCTTACTATCTATTCATGAACAGGCAGGCAGGCAACAGGCAAAAAAACTGGGCGCTTGCAAGTAAGGAGGCAGTCTTGTGGACAGTCTGAAGTGAAGACATGAGACTGGGTATTGCTTCTTGGCCTTTTGGCCAAGATTGCCCCAACAGTTTAGAGGATTCATGCTTAGACGCCCTTGAGACTCTCACCATAGAGTCTCTCCAAGGGGTTTCTATAACTCTAAACTGTTGGGGCAATCTTGGCCTTCACTTACATCTTGAGGGGAAACTATGGCCGAGAGGTTGGCTGCAATTCGGAGCCGGCATCGAGCTCCCAGAGGCCTGGCGAAGGACTCAGTTTCTTCAAATGGCCAACTGAAGTTTGCTCCCACAAGCGCTGATCTTGAGAACGAATGTATTGATGGAGAAACCAGAGATAAAGCAACCGAAAGAGATAGATTAAGACAACACCCTAGCGCCCTGTGATCAAGAAGGCGCCGCCGCCGCTCACGCTTTTTCGAGCTCCGACTGTTGTAAGCGTATCGTCGTCTTTTGACAGATTTCTAGGGTAGGATTTAGCTAAAAACCAACTAATTTTAGTTGCTGCACTCTTTGAGATCCTTTTTCGACAAATTTCATCATGGAATCAAATGAAATTACATCAATTTGGGGAGATTTAGATCAACCAAGACAACCGCTCACATTCGCACAGAAATTGAGACAAAGTAATGCAAAGATGTCTTCCAACGACCTTGCTGCTCGTGCTGCCAAATTTGAGACTGCAGACACCATTTCCTTTCGAGAAATTATAACCTATTTTCATGGTTTTTTCGAAGATGTCAACTGCGTACAGCAACTAATGGCTTTACCCTCCATGCCAGGCCGGCAGAAATGGAATGTCATATTCTCTCGCGCTAGGATGGTGGACAGAGTCATTGACGATCCTATCAAATTCCCTTCAATGACACAAGAAGACCAAGTGTTCTTTACACCAGTAAGAAGACGAGCCCTTCTTATCACAATACCGGACGCAACTCCAAATATTTTTGACGATGAAATTCGTTTTGAGCTAGAAAAACATGGAACTGTTCAACACGTATGGAAACAAACATGGGAAGGTTTCCCCAATATATTCAACAAGAAAAGGCTGGTTACTATATACCCATCAGGATGTAAGGATCTGCCCCCCTTTATTTTAGTTCGGAATCGCAAAATATCGTTGTCGTTTAAAGGAAAACCTGTTTTTTGCAACATTTGCATGAAGGATTCACATCGTTCAGCCGACTGCCCAGCCCGTAATGTAAAGCATTGCTACCTTTGTGGCTCTACTGAGCACCAGAAATCGGATTGTGAAAAATTCGTCCCCCTTAGAAGAGCACGAGGAAGACGAAACAGCTGAGAAATAGAGGATTTGCCAGAGGATGAAGCAACCCCGAAGACCAACCCCTGCGACCCCTGAAAAGAACACTTCCCGAAAAAACTTGCGGGTGAGAGTACCTAATAGCCTAATTAATTTTTCCTTTAACTTCGCCAAAATATTTTTTAATCTTTTCGTTATAATATTTCTTATGGCTTGTGTTGTAAGCATAAACCTGAAGGGGTTGAACGACCCCCGTCGCTCGGATTCAATCTTACGTCACCTTTATAGCCTTAAGCCTGATATTTTATTCTTGCAAAAAAACCCACCTTAATCCCGTTAATGTTAACAATGTATTTTCGCAATGGCCCAGCACTTCCTTCCATTCCTTTGGTAAAGAAAATAGAAAGGGTGTCTCTATTCTAATTTCTGATAGATTGAAAACCACAATCCATTCATGTCATACTTCTGACACAGGCCATCTAATTGTTCTCGACCTTTCAATCGATGACAATAGATTGATTTTGGGCAACGTTTACGCTCCCACAGGCAGTCTCGACGGCACTGCAAATTGTAAGGAATCTTTTAATGAGCTCTTTAAGGTGTTAGAAAATTTTTCTCAAGACTTTCCTATAATTTTAGGAGGTGATTTTAACTGTGTTATAGATCCTTTGGATCGCTCTAGCCCCGTAAATATCTTGAAAAAACTGCTAATAATTTAAAAGCAGTTCTGTCTTCTTATGCCTTAGAAGATATCTGCCGTATACAAAACACCTCCGCTAAGGAATTTACTTTCTCTAGTTCTTGTGGTTCGTTTAGTCGAATTGATAAATTTTACACTTCAAGGAATTTTCGCGACATTTTTAATAAACCTTGCATCGATCCTTTTCCCCACTCTGATCATGATAAGATTTCTCTTACCCTCAATTTCTCAGCCCCTAAACGTGGGCCAGGTATATGGAAATTAAATACTTCTATTTTGAAAGAGCAAGAATTCATCAGCTCCATTAATAAATTTATCACCGACTGGGAAAAATCTCGAGAGTCTTTCCCCTCATTAACCGAATGGTGGGAACACGGCAAAAACACTTTTGTTGACATTGCCAAAACATATTCAAGAAACCGAAAGAAACAATTTATCCGCAAAAAATGTAAACTAATCAAACAACTCAGAAATACGAAAAGAAAGGCAGAGAGTTCAGGGAGACCCCCGATTTCAGAAGCTTTACAAAAACAAAAGCAACGAAGTAAAATCCCTGGAAGCCTCCGAAGCTGAAGGGGTGAAAATTAGGTCAAAAGCTAAATGGTCCGAACAAGGCGAAAAAGTCAAAAGATATTTCTGCTCTCTTGAAAAGAAACGACAAAACGACCGTACAATGAAATCAATTAAAGATAAACATGATAATTCCATCTCTGACCCGACTGAATTAGTCAATATAGTCAAAGACTTTTATGCTTCTCTCTATAAAGAAGATCCAGTCGACTCAAACCTTCAGGACACTCTTTTACAAAAAATAAGTAAACGTCTTTCAGAAACTGAGAAAAACATGTGCGAACACCCCCTTACTCTCAAAGAAATAAACACTGCCTTAAAAACTATGGTAAATGGTAAATCTCCAGGAATAGACGGACTACCGTGCGAATTTTACAAACTATTTTGGAAATCTCTCGGTAAACACTTCTTAAACGTAATTAACTCTTGCTTTGATAACAAATCCCTTACCCCCTCTCAAAGAATTGCTTTAATTTCTTGCCTCTTTAAAAAAGGCGACAGAGAAAACATTAAAAACTGGCGCCCCCTCAGCCTCTTAAATTGTGATTATAAAATCATAGCCAAAGTTCTAGCAAATCGTTCTAGCAATTGCCATGCTTTACGAGACATTATTCAATTCTCTGAAGATGAAAATCTCCCGGTCGCTCTACTATCTATTGATCAAATGAAAGCCTTTGATAGTGTAAACTGGAACTTTCTCCTTAAAACACTTGAAAAATTCAATTTCGGTCCTGTTTTTATTAGCTGGGTAAAACTTCTATACACTAACATTAAAAGCAAAGTTAAATGTAACGACTTTATTTCCGACCCTTTCAATCCTAGCAGAGGTGTCAGACAAGGTTGCCCCTTCTCTGCCCTTCTTTACGTTCTCATTGCTGAGGTGTTTGCCGCTAATGTCCGCTGTGACCCCGCAATTAAGGGTGTTACTGTTTGTAAAACTGAATTTGAAATTATACAATACGCAGACGATACTACCCTTCTTCTTCAAGGTAACCAATCTTTACTCTTTACTCGCAATTGAAAATCACATAGCGAACTATGAAAAAGCCTCTGGTGCTAAAATAAACAAAGATAAAAGCGAAGGCCTCTGGCTTGGTAGTTTTAAAAACTGCCCCGATTCCCCTCTAGGTTTTAACTGGAAAAAGAAATCCCTCAAAATCCTTGGCCTCTATTTCGGTACTGAAGACACAAATAAACTGAACTGGGAACCTAAAGTTTCTAAATTTATTAAAACATTAGATCTTTGGAAGTCGCCCAACTTGACCTTTAGGGGAAGGGCCGTTGTCGTTAATCAGCTTGCAAGCTCTGCACTCTGGTATACAGCTTCGGTTTTCCCAATACCCCAATGGGCAGTCAAACAACTTAATGAAAAACTTTGGCATTTCTTTTTTAACGGCAAACGACCCCTGATCCCTTACCTTATCAAGAAGGTGGCCTCAATGTTCTTGATATAGAGAAAAAATGTAACAGCCTCCTTTTATCATGGCTAGCCAAACTCGTTGCCCCCGAACAAACAGGCAAATGGAAAGTTCTCTTTGACCATTTCTTAGGAAAATACAAAAATCTAAATATCGGAAAAAATATCCTTAAATGCTATTTACAGTCCCGCGAAATAAACAAACTACCTTCTTTCTATAAACACACCCTCCGTGCATATCTCGCTATTACTAATGACCATAACAGATCTCTAGATAACATGTTTGAAATCTTTAAGGAACCCCTCTTTCTGAATCCTAAAATCGCGAAAGATAGTCTACCTCTCAACCCCTGCTGGGTGGATGCAGGAATTACCTTCTTACGAGATATTACCTACGAGTTTTCCCCTGGTTTTCTCCCTGAACTCGCTATCAATGAATTAGTTGGTAGTAAATTTAAGCCTAAAGACCTTTCTTCCATTTTATCATGCCTTCCCCTTGAATGGAAAAATTTCATTTGTTCCAATTCTGCCCCTAAAGATCGCTATTCTATTAATTTCACTCCGCCTATTAAAGATGTTAAAAAGCCGCTTTGTAAATTATCTTCTAAAGACTTTTATCTCGCACTCTTATGCCCTCAGCTTTTGTGTTTATTGGGAAAAGAAATTCACAAATCTTGACAAGAAATTTATATTGAATTCGATATTTACTAGAGATTCTGACCGTAAATCTTGCGACCTTCAATGGAAAATAATCCAACTCGCTATTCCCACTGCCGATCGTTTAGCTAGGCACAAAATTATCGACAACCCTTCTTGCCCCACTGTAATAACCATAATGAAACTACGCTACATCTTTTTATCCATTGCCGTCTAGTTTCGCTTCTGTGGGACACGGTCCTTTCGCATATTAAATATCTTGATTTAGACTTAAATTTAGATTCTTTAGAACAATTTATTGTCATCGGTTTTGCTAGCATTTATATTTCTCCTATTTACTCGTCCGAAATTGCCCTCCGTGATATAGCTCTCCTTGCAATTTGGTCTTCTAGAAATAAACTCGTTTTCGATAATGAATCTATCGATCCCTCTATACCGCTATACTCCGCTCGATAATAAAAGAGGAGTTTTTTCTCGTTAAGTCCTCCTTCGCTGGTCTTTTTAATTTTAAAACCACTTGGTGTTGCAACAACGTTTTAGCTTTGGTTGTTGACGATAAACTTTTTATCCATTGTTAACCCCCGGATAGTATAACTTGACCGCTCTCTTCAACATCTGAGCAATATCGCACTCAGTGTTTTCCGAGACACTGAAGATTAACACATCTATTAAATGACACTTAAACATGATAATCCTCCCCACCGTTTACACAAAGATCGGATACCTCCCTTTGTGATTAATTTGGCTGTCTGGCTTTCCCAACTACTGATTGAAACGCCTCAGGCCATTCTAGGATTGGCGAGTTCCCTGCCTCGTTTCGAATTTGCTAGAATACAGAAAAAGCCCTTTCGAATAACTATACCCCATAGTCATACATTATTGCCTGTTCCCACCTGGAGCAAGAAGCCCACAAGCAAAGCCAACAACCCTAGCGGACCGTACACTACGAGAGAAGAAAACCAGCCAGCCTGCAGCTATGCAGCCCTAGCCGCTGGCGGGGTGATCAACTGCCGGGCCTTTATTCGGAGACTGGCAGACAATGGTTTGAAGCCAACCCACCTCCAGAAACTGCCGAATGGGGATCTGGAGATCACTTTTGAGTCTCTAACAGACAAAGACCGTTTCCTTGGTCTGGACTCTGTCTGCCAGCCCTGAGTACCTTGGACGCCTGGTCTCCAGCACCCACCACCAATGTGGATCTGCATCTTTCATGTTCCCGCGGAGCTGCTACCAAAAATTGTTGAGAAGAGGATGGAGCAATTCAGATGGTCCTGTTTGCCATGGAAAATATCAACCCTGATACAGACATTGCCAACTGTGGTAGTGACCCTTAAAATGGTGATTAAAGATGCCATACCTAGCCATGTACACCTGGGACCATACTGTTTAAAGGTCCGACATGAGGCACAGCCAATGACGTGTCATAAAATGTAACAGTAGAGACCACTTTGCAGCCAACTGCTCTGTAAAAAGTGCTACAACTGGGGGTCCAGCTGCCACATTAATGCCGACTGCCCTGAAACCAGGGTTGTGGGTCGCCTGATCACCACATTGTTCAGTGCGATGCCTCATGGACCCTAGAGGTAAACAGGTACGCCAACTCCTCCTCTTCATCATCGGATGAAGAAGATGATAGCATCTCTATCCCAGAGATGCCCACCAACACCACCATGGCCTACGACAGAGCCTTTGCCATCCAACATAGCCTTGGAGATTCAACAGCTGACCAGGCTCCTACAACCCAGGATCAGCACACCTCGGACGTAGGAACACCCAATTGGTACGCGCACACCATGCTCTTGGCCAGTGCTTCCAGTGCCAATCTGGTTCTAAACTGGACGGCTGCCATCAAAGTTCACCCATCAACACCGGGTGAGCTGACACCCTCATAAAAGGACAGTCACCCTGTGGCTGCTCCCAGCAAGTCAACTAGTGACACAGACTGAACCTTGCAGGAAGAAAATGGACAAGCAGTCAAAAATTGGTTTGATCCACCAACACCAGATGTTATGAACTTGTCTTCTTCTCCACTTCTCTCTTCTGAATTCTATGTCGAGGCTGGCGCCCTAGCGGCTTTAAAGAGGTCCTTCCAGGACGATAATGTCTCTGACATTTCCGCCGTGCAAAGGCCCTCTACAAAAAAGAAGCCAAAAGGGCGTTCAGCTCAGCAACTTGCCCCTTCTTAATGACCAATGATTTGGCAAAGGGAAATAGAAATATTACTAATTGCACAGTCAAGATAAAGATTTGGATCATTATGTATACAGGTGAGGTTGGGTAACTTTCAAAACAGGCATATTTATTGTTAGACATAGGCACAGCCATTATCATAACACAGAATGTAGAAGAGTGGACTCTCCATTTAAACATGTAATAGGAAGTTGAAGATTAACAGGAAAGGGGAAAAGATTGTTAAACTTCCTACTCATGTCAAGAGTTACTGATCATTACACTAAATGTAGTTAGATTTGACTCTATATCTAACTATGAAGTAGGACGTTGAGGAACATTGTAGTAGGACGATCACTGGTCCTTGATTGATAGCAGCAAACTCATTTTTGCTGAACAAGTTTACCTGTATAAATATGGTCCTATTATTATTATTATTATTAAGAAAAATGGACAAGGATATGTAAACTTTACACTACTTGCTATTGTCTATGTATGTGCAGATGATAGAATGATCACTTCAACAGGACTGGCAAGCAAAGCAACTGGATAGCCTGTTAACTTATTCACTAGACTATTTCCAATAAGCCTTAACTTATGACTACAGAACGCAATTTTTGGACAGACCATCAGCAAGCCAAAACTTTCAAGACTTAAGGCCGACCTCCACTTGGCCGCGCATACGGTGCGGCCAAGTCAGCGCATGCCCAGTGACTCGGTATGATGCAATATTCTTGCCCGTCACGTTCAAACTTTGTACGCTTTGAAAGTAGAACCTGGTTCTACTCTCAGAGCGGCCGCTCTACGTACGTCGATATTATCCAATCAAATTGCAAGGAAGTGAAAGCTAATTAATATTCAGCGCCAAAGAAAGTATGATTTCAAGATGGCAGTGAAGGAAGGTGCAGGCAACATCAATGTGAACGGGATAACCTTAACAGCATATCAACAACAGCAGTTGCATGCTCATCAAATGGCCATTTTGCAAAAAATTTTAGATGACCAAAATGTGGGCCTAATTACAAATGAGGAAAGGGACGCAAGTAGGCCTCCAAGTCCAACAAGCCCAGCAGCAGCAGCATCAGCGCCCAGCTTTGAAACAAATGAAGATCAATTAGACGAGCTGCTGATAAATGAAGTACAGTTGTACAGATGTCTGTGGGATCCTCGCGCAAGGGCCTACAAAGAAACGCCAAAGAAAAACGAAGCTTGGAAACAGATCTCCACAAAATTAGGGAAGAATGGTAAGTTAATTAGGCTTAGGCCTACTATTTTTGACTAGACTACCTAGTCTAGGCCTGTATTAATTTATAGCTTATTTTATTTTTTGTATTATTTTGACTATATTTAGATTTCCGCTGGGGGGCATTTGTTGGGGATGGTGGATGCCATGCAGTTGCACCAGAAAGCATAGAATTATTTAGTTTATGCAAGCATTTCCAGTATTACATTGATTTTACAGGATTTCGATAAAATTCTTGGAGGCAATTGCTCTTCCCCCCACTCACAACGCCACTTAAAATGGATCACCTTACAAACCCTGGAAGTCTAGGTGGTATGGAGCCCATAATGTTTTGTTCTATTTGGCACTTCCTTTGAAAAGAACTCGATCAAATTTTAGCTTTTGCAAATATAACTTTATGCAACCCACTTGCCTTTAAAATCTCCTATACATAAAAAGAATTTGGGGCTATGAATTTTCCATTTATTGCCTTTTTCTATAGTTGTGTATTTCTCATTTGCAGATGAAGCTTTGAAAAAGAAGTGGAAGTACCTCAGAGATGGAATGATGAAGTGTTTGAAGAAAATTGAGATTGCCAACCGTTCTGGATCTGGGGCACATTGTACTTCAACATGCAAGCATTTCGAGAGTTTGTTGTTTTTAAAGGACTCTATATCAAATAAAGCAACTGAAAGCAACATTGTTCAACCTGATCACACTATAGATAATGATACTGTATCTGCCAGCTTACATGTAAATTCTCAGCAAATCTCACTCCCACCATCACCATCCCCAGTTGGTGCTCCAAAAAGATCACGTGTTGATTTTGAAAGAAAATTGTTTGAAGAAGCCAGAGAAAGACGTGAGCGCATGGATATACTGCTACTTGAGTCCATTAAATCAAATACGTCAAAAGCATGTGATAGTGATGACAGCAGAGATGATGCAGATGTCCTTTTCTGCAAAAGCCTGGTCTCGTCACTAAAGAAAATGAGACCCAAGCAAAACAGGATGGCCAAAATCGCAATTCAACAGATTCTCTTAAAGTATGAGTTTGAAGAAGACATTGATAACTAACTATTTAAACATCATAACTACTGAGTATTTCATAATGCAGTCATGTGCAAAGTTTAAGACCACCCCACCAATTCAGAGAAATAAACATATTTCCAATAGATGTCTTTTTAGGAATAACATGACATTTCAGAAGACTAAATGGAGATTAGATTAGGTCCACAATGCTCGATGCAAGAGCAGCTTTATTTTGTTGACCTTTACATCCAATTTGTTGCTTGTCACACTCAGATAAGTAGAATAACAATTTTACCCTGTTGAATCTCAGGGAGTGATTTTTTCCAACCTATATGTTTGCAAAAAATTGATTGAAAAATGCACCTTTTATGTGTAGCAATTACATAATCTTTGGCAATAACATGCAATGTATTTGTTTCATCCACACTATTCTGAATAAACAGAAAAATTTAATGCATTGATTTAATGTGCTTCTTTCAAACATAATGCATATACTGCCTATTTTGAGGTTAGCCAAGGAAATTAGGAACAATAAAATGTTGCCTTGAAAACTGTTTCACATGACTGTATTAGTTAGGGCATGAAGAGGCAAACACTTTTTCAAACTGTAACTTGCTGAAGACAGTTTTAATACTTGTATACTATAACATCAGTGACCTAACTGTGGTAAACTTCTCAGCATAATTTATCTTGAACATGAACTTGTCTTCTCATTTTGTTAAGTTATTATATACAGTCCTCATCAAAAGTATTTGATGTGCTTTGAACCTCTGTCCACTGCAAAGGAACTGAACCAACCTCAGAGCAGAAGTAAGCTTTGAAGTTATCTCTAACTTCCTTTGCCAACTGGGAGTAGTTGTTTGAGCTTGTATTTGAAACTTTAAGAAGAGCTTGATTAAAACATTTGGTTCTCCAAGAGCCATTTTTAATCCTTCTATCAATTTCCTCATCTATTAAGTTGCCAGGACAGTATTGGTAACCACTTTCAAAGCATTTGCCTTTCATCAGAAAATTGTGCAATGCCACTATTGACTTTGTGACAGCAATAGCAGTGTCAGTGTTGGCACAAATAGGGCGTCGAAAAACCTGGAATCTTGAATTTGCTATCCCAAAGCTGTTCTCTACAATTCGACGGGCACGTGATATTCTATAGTTGGTTACTCGCTCTTCTTTGGTCATTCTTTGTCCTAGATATGGCTTCATCAGACAGGGTTTGAGGGGGAATGCGTCATCTCCCACAAAAACATAAGGGTATTTCTTTCTTGTGTTCCCCAATGTACGTGGTGCTGGCAAGTTTAAACAGCCGGTATTGATGGCATGGCCTAAATGACTGCTAGAGAAAACACTGCCGTCACTAAGTCTCCCATAATCACCAATGTCTACCATCTCAAATTCGTAGTTTGCATTCACTGTAGCCATTAGCACTATGCTATGAAACTTTTTATAGTTGAAATACATAGAGCCACCCCTAGGAGGACATTGAATTATGACGTGTTTTCCGTTGATGGCACCCACACAATTAGGGAAATTCCATCTATCCTCAAAACCTTTGCTGATAGTCTTTCCACTCCTCAGATGTCTGGGGCACTTTCAAAAAACCCTCTTGTTTCAAAACCATCCACAACACATTACAAGTTTCTTTCACTACTCTCCCAACTGTCGTGCCACTCATTCGGTAACTTGCTGCAATTGTGTTGAATGAGTCACCAGTTACGAGAAATCGCAATGTAACACATAAACGTTCAGCTGGTTTAATCGGCTCTCTTCTCATAGCACCATGCAGAATGTGTGGGGCAACATAGTTTAGCAGCTCCTCGAATTTTGTTGCTGTCATGCGAAACATTTGGAAAAAAAGTTCAGGGTCTGACAACTGGGCCTGTACAACCAAAGAATGATATTCTCCTTTCAGTTGTCTCTCCTTGTATATTTGCCTCGTCCAAAATCTTTTCTTTCTTGGGAGTTTCGAAAGAAGATAATTTTCAATGTCTTCATAGTCTTGCTCTCTTCTTCGCAGTATTAAAAGGAGAAGCAATCGCCTTCGCTTCACAGCTTCCATGTTGTTTATAATTTTTGGCGCAATTTATTCAGACGTTTGCACGGACAGAATATTTCTCTATGTACGGACGTACAGCTGACCTCCACTTGGCCGTACGTAGTACCGAGTCACTGGGCATGCGCTGACTTGGCCACAATGTACGCGCGGCCAAGTGGAGGTCGGCCTTTAGCTGCAACTTGATATTTTTAAACGCAATTTTTTTAACAACAAGAAAAAAAGGCCATGACTGAGCGGATATCAAGCTACGTATGCCTGAGACTTGCCTGTTTGCTTGTGCGACACAAAGGTCAACCTATGATGTGTCGAAAATTTGACAACAGGACCAATCTCACAGCAAATTGCTTTATAAAATGGTGTTTCAACTATGGGTGTGTCGACAATATTATTACAGACTGCCCTGAAAGCAGTCTGTATCAGGGTTGTGGGTCCTCTGAGCACAATCTTGCCCAGTGTAATACCTCATCCTTCTTGGGCCAGAGTGGAACCAGCGATGCAGAGTCAATTCCTGACAACCCATTATAAAACCACCTTGGCCTTTGACCTGTTGGACAATGAAAGTGAGCGTACAACCACGGATGTTGGTGCAACTCCAGCTTTGTCAAAACATGTGACTATGACTCCTGCATAGAAGCAAATTTGGGAGGTTTTCCCAAATACTTCCAATGGAAAAAGGCTGGTCACAGCCTTTGCTTCTGCAGGTATTGAGTTGCCTTCGTTTATTACTATTTGAAATAAAAAAATATCTCTTTCTAACAGGATCAGGCCCGAGTTCTGTCATATCTGCATGTCAGATACCCACAGAACATCAGATTGTCCGTAAAGGCACGTCAAGGAGCTGGGCTTTCTGAAACTTTGTAAAAATATTAGTGACAGAGTAAAATGCTTGAAACCTCTGTAGGCGAGTGGGGAAAAAATTAAATTAAAAGCCCAATGGTTCGAAAAAGGCCAAAAAGTAACTCGTTTTTTCTGTTCTCTTGAAAAGAAAAGACAAAGCAACTGTTTCATGAAGTCTTTTAAAGATAAATACAACAATTCAGTAACTGATCCTATTCAGATAACTAAAGTTGTCAACGAATTTAGTAAAGCAACTAAACGAAGATCAAACAGAGAAAGGCATTTTTTTTTTATATTCACATAAAAATTTACAACGACAACAATTACAATACAAAAGCCTAGGGAGCATGGAAATGCATAACAACCCTAAGACTTACACTTAACATAGAGATACAATTTTTACAATAATAAGCTACAAAAGTGATTGGAGTGGCGTCGCCCATCGTTCCAATAGCGTTGCAGATATGACAAATACTCACAAAAGCTATTTTTAAAAGAAGATATCAAATCTACCTATGTTTCTTGTTAATCAAACAGATTTGTGCCCAGCCATGATGAGTGACACCACTCCAATCGTAAAAGGAATGAAATTTAGACAAAAGAGAAACTAATTTACACGAGAGAGATTTTCTGGAACTGTTCTGAGGCCTGAATGTATTTTAATGTTGCATCAAGAATGTTTGTATCTGAATCAAAAGGTAACTTTTCATGGCCATAAAGGAGTATTTGCAATAGTTCTTTGTTTGGAGGGTTAGATAGGCCACGAGGACGCAATGTTGTATTAACGCTGTCGAGAAGATCACATCTGTGTATGTCATAGGCACTGCAGAGCAGCAAAAAGTGCTCCGTATCCTCAATACCATCATTTATCAGGCACAGGGGATTAAAAGTATCCCTAAAATTATGTTTAGATTTGTGGTAATTTAGCTTACTTAGTCCAACGCGTAGCTGCGTTAAAACAGATAAAAGTTTTGGATCATGAATTCCGTAGACTGATTTAGAGGGTGGACGAATGAGTCCTAGAAGTTGTTTCTTGAAAACATTCACTGAGCGGGATTCACGAATTTCAGGGTCAAGTTTTTCCCATTCCGACAAGCAGTTTGGGTAGAAAGTTGATTTAAATCTTTCTGTTCTCGCATGTATTTGCCCTATTGTAGCTTGCCTGCGCAGACTGTAGTTTGACTCCTGGCGTTGGGGTATAGGATTTCTTGTGTAATCCGGAGTTAAATTTTTCATGATCTTATAAAAGAGGACAAGACGTCTACTCCATCGACGGAGGTCGAGAGACTCCCAGCCAAGCCCTTCATATATTTTTTCACGCGATGTGCCCTTCCAAGCACCAGTTACTGCTAATGCAGCAGAATATTGTACAGCCTCAAGTTTCTCCATTTGATTAGTTAATTTAAATCTATGACTAAATTCACATGTTTTATGAGGGATATGATATATAACGTCACCATAATCCAAGTGTGGCAGGACATACAGTTTGTATATTTCGTTGAGGGTGTGTCGTGGTAAGTATTTTGAGAGGAATCTCAACATCCCTATTCCTTCTCTAGATTTAGAAATAATTGACTTGATGTGACTAGTAAAAGACATTTTAGAGTCTAGTATGATTCCAAGGTGCTTTTGTTCCTGGACGTTCTTTACAGGGACATCATTAAAAAATATGGGTGGGTGATTCATTGGAATTCTCTTTTTAGAAAAGGTTACTTCAACTGCTTGCTTGTTGGGGTCAGGATTAAAGGACATTCGCCAATTGTGCGCCCAAGACTCAATAAGATTCAGATCATGGTTTATATCGAGGGCAGCTGTATGTGGATCGTGAACAACTGTGAAGATCGATGTGTCGTCGGCAAATAATTTCACATTACACCTTAAACCATCTGTCAAGTCATTAATATAAATGAGAAACAGAAGAGGACCCAGGATAAAACCCTGAGGAACACCAGCTGAGACGGTACCCCATGTAGATGTCTTACCATTCAAAACTGTACGCTGTTTTCTATCATTGAGAAAGCTTTGTATTAAGATCATTAGTTTACCAGAGACACCAATTTGGCTTAGTTTATAAATAAGACCCTGGTGCCAGACCCTGTCAAAAGCCTTTGAAATATCTAGATAAACCGAACGGACATCAAGAGTTGGATTGCAGTCAAATGCTGAAAAAATTGAATTGACGATTGATAGTAACTGATTAACAGTCGAGTCTCCTGGACGAAAACCTGACTGGTTTTGGTTTAAAAGACTGTTTGTATCTAGGTGATGATAAAGCGAGTCAAACATAAGTTTCTCTAGAATTTTACTGAAAATTGGAAGGAGAGAAATAGGACGATAGTTGTTCTTAAGACTCTTACTGTTTTTCTTGTGGATGGGAACTACGTTGGCTTGTTTCCAAAATTGGGGGAACACACCTTGGGTCAAGCAGGATTCAAATATTAATCTAAGGGGTAGAAGGAGTGCATCATCGCAGATTTTTATCATTCGTACTGAGATATTGCCCCAGCCATGAGCCTTGTTTGGGTTCAAAGATCGGATAATATTCAAGATCTTCTCATCAGAAATAGAAAAGCCAGTGAGCAGTGAAGTATTGGGTACTGATGGCGGAGGAAGTTCGCTACCAGTATCGATTGTGGTGCACTGTTGTATGAAGTAATCATTAAAAATGTCTGCCTTTGCAGTAAAATCCAACACAAATATATCGTTTTCTAAAAGGGGAGGAATTATTGGTATTTTTGCTTTGTTCAAGATTTTATTGATCAAGGACCAATAAATTTTTCTACCTGTTTCAGGGTCTGAGAGTGTTCTTCCTATTTTTGTAAGGTATTTTTCCTTAGCGTCCTCAATTAGTTTTGATCCATGAGCTATCATGTTAGTAATGGCCTCCAGCCTATCCTCTGGCTACCCGTTTCTGATGAAAGACTTATAAGCCCTATTTTTTTTTCTGATAAAGTTTTTAATTGGCTGTGTTATCCAAGGTGCCTGCCGAGGCCTAACCGTGATTGTTTTGTTAGGTATAAAGTTCGAAAAGATATTCAGTAAGGTTTCATTTAGAGTTTTAACTTGCAGGTTAGGACATGCGATGTCTGATAAGGTATCTTTCCAAGGAAACATTTCAATGCTTTTTTTGATTGCAGTAGCTTCTTCACGGTCATAAAACCAAATCCTGCGTCTATACGGAGGTGGAGACAAAGCCCTTACATTTAATTTACCATGAACAATCTGATGATGACAGTTCTCGTGTAAAGAGGGGTGGACACCAGTTTCAAGGAAAAGGTTTGGCTGATCAGTAAAAATAACATCTATGCAAGATCTTGAGTTTCCAATAAAATGCGTTGGTTCGTTGATTAATTGGTGGAGCCCAAGGTCAGAAGTAAAAGGTTCGAAAAGTTTACCCTCTTCATTTTCGATATCATCTTCCCACCAGTTTGAAGAACGGCAGTTAAAATCACCAGTTATAATGACACAGTAAGGGTTTTCACCAGACATCTTGGACAACATGAGTTTGAAATTATTTGTGAAATCCTGGAATTCAAGTTGGCTCTGACTGGGACTCCGGTAGAGGATCACAAAAAAATATTTTTTCTTATCAAGCTGAACTTCACACACAATGCATTCAGGGAGGGTCGCCAGGTCTAGTCGGTTTTTTGCAGGGAATGAGTCTTTGACATAGAGACCTACACCTCCCCGTTTTACATTATTTGGGTGGTTGCTTTTGAAAAAAGAGTAACCAGTGAGATCTAATCTGCTTACATCTACAGTGCTATCAAGGTGGGTTTCAACAATACCTATCAAATCATAATTATAAACTGCGTTGTACCCTTCAATAAGAGAGACTCGTGTAAAATCATGGGCAAGAATACTATTTAAGTTCCAGGAACAAAAGTTGAAGGTGCTATGCTCTGGACCAGGGTTTGTCTCAATGTCACCACTTCTTAAAATTGTCAGATAAGTTGTCCACTGCAAGTGAAGCGTATGACATATTAAACATGTTGCATAGAAATAGGTGTATCTGAAAGCTAAGGATTTCAAAGTGCAGCGAGTACAAGAATGAAGGAATAGAACAGAAAAGCGCTTCATCAGCTCGAATAGTATGTAAAGTACAGCTTTTGCATGCGAATACAAATGGGCAAAGACGTGTAAGAAACAAGTGTTTGGATAAAACGAAAGATGTGCAGCAGTCTGAACGATCATAGTGAGAGGTAAAGCAGGAATTGAAATTATAACAAACGTGCAACAGAAAAGGCATAACTTGAAGATCACGAGAAAAATTGAAAGGGGTTGTGATCCGTGAAGAATGTTTTGCTTGGTACTTATTGGAAAACGGAATGACGCTATTGCTGCTCTCCAATGGTTTACATCAACCGGCATCACGAAACTTTAATCTCCTCGACAGGGAACTAGTGCAACCTTGCAAGGCTAATATTCTAAGAACAAAATTACTTTTTCTCTCTCGTGAGAACAAATATTTGGACGAAATTAAACTAGAAAAAAAATGCAAATACAACAATGAATAACACTGAAAAGTTTTGAACGCAAATATCCTCAAGGGAAACTCAGACAATACTCCTAGAGGTTGAAAACAATTCATCTAACGAAGACAATATTATCAGCGATTTGCCAATGTAGGGCTTGCAATGTAAGTCCACCTGGGAATTCAAACTTGATTATGGATTGGTAATGAATGATCAAAACAGTTTGGAGGACAAGCTGAAAAAGTTGGGACATTTCTTACTTAAAAATCACGGCGAAATAAGGTAGCAGATTTCAAAAGGAGAATGCGAAACCTACGTTTAAAAGGGTAGTTACGTTGAATATAGTTGAACTATGATACCAACAATGGAAAAGTTTGTTTCGAGGTTATTTCGAATGCAAAGTTGAGATTTTCTCTAATTTATCAAAATCAAAAGTTATTTTCTCGAGAGACAATAACGACATTTAAGGGACATATACCAAACCCTACAACAACTTCTCCAATTCACTCTCACTCGAGAAGAACTTAAGTGAGCCATCTGCGAGCTTTACACCTAAACGACAGTTTATGTCCACAAATGCAAACTGTATCCCAGAGTGATTCTTGACTCTCTCGCGTGCTACAGAAAACAAGTTTGCTCACTTTGGGGTTAGATCTAATGAAATATTTATGTTATCTAGCTTTTTCCTCGCTCTATAAACTGCCACCCTCTTTTCCCAAGATATAAATTTCACTATTACCGCCTGCTGCTTCTCACCATCATTGCTCGTTTTTATCCTTCCAATTCTGTGCGCGCGATCAATGCAGTCGTCAGGAACCGCAACTTCCAGATCTTTAAACACCTTTTTGACCTTCGTTAAGCAGTTTTTTGAAGTTTCATCGCCGTTTTCTTTAAGGGGTACACCGTAAATACGTAAACAAGACCTTCGGCTGTACTGTTCAGATTCTTCCAGGCGGTTCTCCATCTCATTTAAGTGTGCCTCATATAACGAAAGCTTACCTTCCAACGCTACAACCCTGTCCACCAAAGGCTTCGTTATTTTCTCGATCTCAGATGCAAACGATAACTTTAGATTTTTCTCTAGATCTGTTATAAGCAATGATCATTTGATACGAGTCCTGCTTTTGTAATTGCCGCTTCGACAGCCTTTTGAATTTGCTTATCCATCATGTATGGTATGTATCGTAGATTTAGGCCCAGCAGCAAACAATTAGTACAAGAAAATGGGCCAAATTTCCATGTTTCGCCTTTTAATACCACTAAAATAATACTCCAAATCAACTTGCTACTATTTAATTTAATCTCCAACCCATTTATAGTTATTGGAAAGACATTACAGCGCTACAAAGGCAAATCTGCTCGGAGCTCAAATTACCATGTCCAACACCTCCAACGTCCAACGTCCAACTTGTCACAGAAAGGCATTTCTGTGACAAACCTCTTACACTCGTAGAATTAAAAGGATGTCTTGAAATTATGTCAAATAAAGAATCCTCTGGGATGGATGGAATTTTCTGCGAATTTTGCAAAATGTTTTGGAAAAACCAGGAAAGCATTTTTTGTTCATTGTTGGTAAATTTTTAACAATAAGCCCCTCACCCCCTCGCAAAGAACTGCCCTCATTTCTTGCCTCTTAAAATAGGTGACAGAGAAATCATTGGAAATTGGCGTCTGTTGAGGATTTTTAATTGTGATTATAAAATGTTAGCAAAAGTTATTGCCAACCGTATTTTGAAAGACTTGTCAAAAGATATTGTAACTCCTTGTGAATGTAAAACTTTCTAGAATCAGAAATGCACTTTCAGAGGTACCAAAACTTAAATTGAAAGTAGGCTAGGTAGATTATTTCAAATCTCCATTAATGAATTCCTTTCATTCTTTTTTTCTGATGGTGATAGTCAGTATATTTGCAATTTCTTCTCTAGTATGTTAAATGCACTTATGTAAGTATGAATCATTTATTCATTTGCCTGTTGGCATTGTAAACCCCTTAGAAATAGAGGCGTTAGCATGCCCACTCTGTCACGTGACGCCTTCAAAATATGGGATTTCAAATTGGTAGGAACAAGTTGGCAAAATATATGCGGGGAATCACAGCGGACACTATTGCCTCCTGTCACTGTATACACGCTTGGCTGTTTAAATAATCTGATAAACTGCTGCTAACATTGATAGATTATTTAGCTTTTCTTTTTTATTTTGATATAAGAAAATGGTAATGGCGTAAATTTTGGGGGGGGGGGACTAGCTGGGGGCCAGCTTTTGGCTCTAGGCGCCAATGCTAACTAGTAGAATGTAAATCTGAACGGTTTTTTGGCGGTACATAACTTGAAAATGGCTTTGAAAAAAGCAAACATTTCACAACATATTAACTACACGCTGAACTGGAAAAACTTAAAACGATCTTTCTGGACAACAGCTATCCAGAAGACGTCATTTTATCTTATACTAAGGAGAAGATTGCAAGTTTTTCGTCCGCTCAAAAGTAGCCTCCGGTCACACTTTTTCGAGCTCCGATATTTATTAGCGTATTGTCGGTCTCAGCTGGTTTATAGACTAATTTTAAGTCTTAAAATTTATAATTCTGATAAATCATTGAGAATATTATTTCTCCCGAATTTCGTTAAAATGGCAACAAATGATGTTCCTCTCATATGGGGAGACTCTCATTGCAATGAAACTGAAAAGCTGATGTCATTTGCTCAGAAACTCAAACAAGGTCATGCAAAGATGTCCCCAAACAACTTGGCAGCGAAAGCAGCAAAGTTTGAAACAAGCAATAGCATCGACCATAAGGAAATCATCACCTCTTTTCATAAAAAAATTCAAGATCCAAACTGCATTTCTCAACTAATGTCGTTTGCTGCCCTACCAGGGCGAAGGAAATGGAACAATATCTTTGCAAAACATTATATTGTTGAGAAAGTCATTGAGGATTTAGTCAAGTTTCCATCTATGTCAGCAGATGATCCAGGGATTCCATTTACTCCTGTAAGAAAGAGAGCCCTTCTCATCAAAATTCCAGATGCCTCTCCCGATATCTCCAATAATGAAATTGGAAACATACTCTCCCAATATGGTACGGTCACTCGCGTTTGGAAATAGACATGGCAAGGCTTTCCAAACATCTTTAATGGCATGCGGTTGGTTACGATTTTTCCTTTGGCGTCTGTCGATCTACCCTCTTTCATCATATTCAAAAATAAGAAAATTTCGCTTTCCTTCAAGGGTAAACATGTATTTTGCCAAATATGTATGTCAGACATGCATAGATCTTCTGACTGCCCCTCTCGTCACATAAGCCATTGATATCTTTGTGGATCGACGGAACATAACAAAAAGGATTGTTCTAAGTTCGTTTTCCTAAAAAGGGGCCAGAATAGATGTTGCAGCGGCAAAATAGACGAAAACGACACGACCCCCATTGGCAAAGCCGAGAACTGGAACCGGAACCACTAACGCGGAGCAAATGGAAGATGAAGAAGGATCGGACTCAGCAACGGAAGAAACTACTACAGACGAACCTACAGCTAGCTCTGCAACACCTCAAAGTCCTACTCCCACCGAAACAACCGAACAAACTGAACAAACTGGAATTACTGCCACTTAACCGGATCCTCCACTAGAACCAAAGCCACAAAGATCTACCCAAAAATAAACTAAATCACCCAAAGACTACGCCCCCTATACCAGAAAAACAGTCAAGTGACCAGTCCCTGCAACCCCTGAAAAGAACGTTGTTCGGAAAAAACCTGCGGGTGAGAACTTTTCATTCCGATTCTGGGGCAACAGAAAATGAAGCTGAGATGCTACGCCTACACAAAGAACGTTTGAGAAAGTTCCCATATTCGTCGTAGGAAGATCGCCGCCCGTACTCAAAAGCCAGAAACCCAGAAGTGCCCCACCACACTAGTGTCGTAGGTAAAGAAACTTTTAGTTATGCCTCCTGAGCTAAGCTTTTAGTTAAGCCATACTTTTTTGAAGAAAGCACCTTTTCCTGCTGTCGCAGCTCACAACTGCTGCTGCATGCTGCTGAGTGGCCATGTGAAACCGAATAACTCATTCACTAACTCACTCACCTCGACGACGTTCTTCAACATCCACAGATTGATTACTTTGCTGCTGGAGTGAGGGAGCAGGCAGGCAACAGCGAAAAAAACTGAGTGCTCTGCAAGCAACGAGGCAGACTTGTGAAGAGTCTGAACTGAAGACATGAGACTTGGTATCGCTTCTCTGCCTTTTGGCTAAGATCGATAACCACAAGCACTGCCCCAACAAGCAAGAGGATATATGCTTGGCTGCCCTTGAGTTTCCTTTTATAGGGTCTCTTAAAGAGGTAGCCATAACTCTTCAGAGGGCCGAGAAGTTTGCTCTAGGAGGCTTAGCGCCTCTTGGAAGCAAAGATCTAGGTCCCACAAGCGATGAGAAAGTTCATGAGCTTCTTCATGAAGCAAGTTCAGATGAGGAGTCCCAAACGCAAGACGCTTCACCGGAGACTGAAAGAAAAATGCTACACCAACATCAAAATTCACGGAGCTATGTTGCCTCAGCTGCTGCTGCTACAGTAACGGAATTATATATAGGAAGATCCGGAAACATGAAGGATAAAGTTCCTATGGGCTGTCACAGACCTCGCTCTGTTTGTATACACGCACGCAATGGCCAAATCGATGCTAGAGCGTTAATATCAAAATTGGCTGAAGCTGAAGCACCAATTACCCACATCCAGCGACTAGGAAATGGTGACATGGAAATAACATTCCCTTCCATAGAGGTGAGAAACAAGTTTTTCTCCTTACCTTTTGTCCACTCACCCAGACGGATTTTTCACAAGCCTGCGGAACTCCTGCTTGACACCGTCCGGCATAAATTTAGCCAGTTTGGTCAGGTTTTATTTGCCAGGGAAAATGATGTCCCTGATACTGGTGTGTTTACCTGTTGCGTGACAATGAAAATGATAATTTCCGAGCCCATACCCAGTTATGTACACCTAGGTCCCTATTGTTTGTTGGTTCGCCATGATGGTCAACCACAAACTTGTCGCAAATGCGACAGTAGGGACCACTTTGCAGTTAACTGCAACGTCAAGAGGTGCTACAACTGCGGAGGAAGTGGCCACATTAATGTAGACTGTCCTATGGAGAGTCAATGCCAAGGTTGTGGGTCCACTGGGCACCACATTATACAGTGTGACACCTCATGGGTGGTCGAGCAAGAGGAACAAAATCATAGGCCTCACCTCGAGCAAGAAGGAAAACCCCCCCCAGCAACAGAAAGCCCTTCAATGCAAGAAGATACTCTGTCACCCAGACCATCAGAAGAGCCTCCAGCTCCAGCAGACAAAGCCGAAGTAGTCTTTCCTGACCCACCACCACCTCTAGACTGGGCAAACTCCCAACCGGATGACACAGTGCCTCCAACAACAAACAAAGTAACCGTCCTGATCCTTTGCCTGCTGAGACAGCAGAGCCGCCATCTGACTACAACGATCATCAAGCCACTACAGACAGCGCAGAAACCAATGCAAACCAGAGGAACGCAATCATGAAACCCTGGTATGAAAATCTCTCTTTTGCCTCACCCGAATCACCAAACAAGACAAACTCACCATCTCTCTTCTCCTTTTTGCCTCCTTCTTCTTCTGTCAAGGCTGGCGCCCCGGCTGCTTCCAAGAGGCCCTTTCAGGATGACAGTGTCTCCAACAGCTCTGCCGTCCGAAGGCCCGGCAACATGAGAAATCTTCACGCTATTTTTTCAGTCTTGAGAACTCACGTCAATCCAAAAAAGTCATTAGAAAGTTAAAAGCGCCAGATGGTAGAACATTACAGGATAGTAGGGACCTGCTTGGCTGCATCGCTAACTTCTATGAGTCCCTCTATTCTCCTGACCCCATTGATAATGAAAAAAAGAATACCCTTTTGAACACTATTGACCATTTTGTCCCTGAGAACTTTAAATTGTTACTTGAAGAACCACTTTCTGCAGACGAATGTCACAAAGCTCTCACTAACATGAAATCAGACAAATCGCCTGGCTCTGACGGCCTTCCAGCAGAGTTCTACAACTTCTTCTGGGACGTAATAGGTGAAGCCTTGGTAGAAATACTAAACTTCTGTTTCAATAGAGGCCTCCTTACTGAATCCATGCGTTTGGCCATAATCAGCCTTTTGTATAAAAAAGGTGACATTGAACTTCTCAAAAACTAGAGAACTATTTCCCTTCTTAACGTCGACTACAAGATCGGTTCAAAAGCATTTGCAAGTAGACTACAATTAGTCCTCCCATCACTCCTGAACAGCGATCAAACATGCTCTGTACCGGGGAGATCAATATTTGAAATAAAGTTTATTTGGATAATGCAGCAATCTCTTAGATCAACTTTGAAACTGCCAGTTGCATGCATTAATATAGACCTATATTTTCATCAAGGTATGAGCAATACCAACATTTCAACAGTAATTGGTTTTCTTTCTTAGGTACATTTATTAGGAAGTTTTTCCCTTGTCTGACATTTGATTTCATTGCTTTCTCCTTTTCAGGCTGGTGATCTCATTTTAGCTGATAAAGATTTTCTCATTCATGATTTGATGCCACAAGGTGTCTTCCTTAACTTGCCATCATTTTTGACAGGAAAGGCAAGATTCACAAAAGCAGAAGCCATATTTTCTAGAAAAATAGCAAGATCCAGAATACATGTGGAAAGAGCTATTGAGCGCTTGCGAAATTACAGAATTTTTAATTCCATCTCAGCAAATCAAAGACCAATAGCTAGCAAGCTTGTCCAAGTCTGTGCATCTCTTGTTAACCTCCAGTCTCCTGTTATATATGGAATATTTAAGGGACAAAATGATTATAATTCATCTGATATATGTTAATTTGACAAGTAGTTCAAGCAAGCTTCCCAAAATTTACTACTCTTCATGATTGAGCTTTATTGTTCCTTTATTGCAGCTCATTAGACATAACTGCTTTTAATTTTGATAGTAATGTTCATCTCAAAAAAATAGAAATATGGTATGTTTTAAACTTTTATAATCAATCAAAAATATAGCTAACAGCATTAAGTGAACTAAAATGCATTATAGAAATAAGTATTAGATGGCTACAGTAGTCACCAAAAGTCCTTGGGATACTTGTAAGAAAGTGATAAAAACCATATTCTTCTAGAATTGTTCTTTCTTGCACCTTACACACCTAAGAGAAGAAACAAAAAATGCCAAGTGTCTCAGGACTTTTGGCAACTGTTGTACTTCACAAAACTAACTTGTAAATCTAAAAAAAACAGTTTATCTCATTTTTCAGTTGTATAACAATTTGGTAACAGAGTATTTACATAAAAGTCTGACAGCAGTGTTATATTAATCTTTTCCCAGTTTTCGTCTTTTGAAACAGATACAATCAACATATCCTTGTTAGTCCATACTACAAAATCTGCCCAAGTGACACCAAGAACTGCAATTTCAGCTTGAACCTGATGCCAGTAATTATGTGAGGGGTTTAACTTGTAACTTTTGTTAAAAAAAATCCCTTCTGCTTACTTTGAGAAGCTGATTCCTGTTCCACCATTTCTTTGATGGTGGAATCTCTATATTTAAAAGGACATTTAATTTCAAGTGCTCCTGGCCTTGAAATGTCCTTTGAACTAATAATACCATCAGGGGTACAGCCAAGATAGCCACATGGGAAGAGATGAAGGCCGGTAGAAGTAACATTGTTATTTGTTTCTTCAATATAAGCTTGAAGTGCTACCTCTTCATGCATCTGACCCCAGATTATGCTGTCTCTGTTGCCCAAATAGTATTCTCCTTTGAGAGTTTTGAAAAGAGATGGGGGATAATCACGGCCTGACAGTTCTTTTCTTTTCATAGCATCAAGCACCAATCCAAAATTGCTTCCTGTAAGACATAGTCTTCGGTATTGACCCCAGATATGACTCTTTCTTTGATCTTTTGTGGCATTTGCAATCCACTGTTGCTGTTCTTTGGTTACCTCAACTTGTTTTATGCATTGTTCTTTGTTGACAGCATAGATGGGCAAAAGGCTCTCTATGACAGGTGGTGCATTATTTTCCTGGTTGACTTCAGGCTCAGGCAAAAGCATCCAGCGAAATGGACAGTCTACATTTTCTGAACTTAAGGCATTAAGAAAAAATTCACGATCAACTTCTGAAAAGCATCGAGCTGCAGCGGTGTATTTGGGCTTTGAAGGAGGAAAAAGACCTGCCATCGACTTAACACTCGATTCCTGCTTTGACATAGTTCTTGGCCGGTTGATCCATGAATTTGGCAGGTCTGTCTTAGAAAAACCTTTCCTGTTCACATGTATTGCCGTGGCAGCCATATGACTACATATCCACCTTCCCCTTGGACACTGACATGTTGCTGAAGTTATCAATCCATCATCGCCATTTACTGTTAGGCCTACCTAAGCTCTATCCTTCATTGATGCGTGTACAATTCCTTTGATTTCAAACCCATCTATGGTAACTTGCAGAACATAATTTGCATAGTACTTGGTTTCACCTTTACTTAAAACATTTTGATCATCCTGAAAGTAGTTGAACAAACCAGAAAGACTAATAATTTGCTTTGCCATTTTAACTTGCTTGGACCGTAAATGTTTGTTGCCACCACGTAACTAAGGAGAAATGTGATAACCAATCAGAGATCGCTTCTGCTTGCAGAGCGTATACACAGATGACACCACCTTGTTTTTAAAAAATATTTTTTCTGTCCAAGAAGCCATAGCAACTATCCATTTATACGAATTTGGTTCTGGATCAAAAGTAAATTTTGATATTGGCAAGTCCTGCGGTAAGTGGTTCAACAAGCCCTCCTATCTTTCCGTCTCTCTGGTTCCTCACTAAAATGGACTGACAGTGCTTTGGAAATATTAGGCCTCCAATTTGGCTCGCCAACAGCACTCAAAAACTCTTGGATTAAACATGTCGAAAAATTGACTAATAGGCTTGAAGCCTGGAAACACTGATCCCTTTCCTTAAAAGGCAAAGCTCTAATTTTTAATACAATCGCTCTTTCTGGTCTTGTGTTTCTAGGAACCATTCACCATCTCCCTCCCGTCATAGAAAAGCTGGTAAACCGAGCTATTTTTCAATTTATCTGGGCTGGCAAAAACAAGCTAGTCAGCAGAAAGACAATGTTCCAACCCCCAGATAAAGACGGTCAAGGTGTGGTCGACATACACCTGAAAACTAACGGTCTTCACCTCAAGTTTCTTCAGTCAATTATTGATACCAATTATGACTCCCCTTGGGTTTATTTTGCCCGCTACAATATCGGTTTTCAACTTTTCAAGTACTTTCCAACTGCAAAATTTATCCGTTCCAATTTGTTCCCTCATGCTTTAAAACCATCTCTGCATTACACTCGTCTTCTCTCTTTGTGTAATCTGTATAAAGTCATTGTTGTTTCGTAAAGTGCCGCGGGCACATCTGTAAGTAGTATTTATGGCAGCATTCTCGCCTCGGTCTACTCCGGCATATTGCCGGCCCTGGCATGGAATGCTGCCCTCGCGAAGCCACAACAGTGGCAAATCTCATGGGAGCACGTTCGCTCCCGCCCCTCCTAAGGCCCTGAAAATGACGTCTTATGGAAAATTTATCATAGGGTCCTGAAAACAGCAAGTTACTTCATGAGTTGGGGTCTGAATATTCCCGAAAATTGCGACCAATGCCACCAAATCGAAGACATCAATCATGTCTTCATAGACTGCCCAATTGCAGTTGCAGTCTTCGTGTCCCTGCAGCCGATTTTCGAACAGCTGCTCGGCACATTTTCTGTGCTCCCCTCCCTCGTCATATTCTTCAATTTCCGAATGGCATCCATCGGAATGCCAAAACTCTCTGCCGTTGCCTACTAAAAATCACTCTGTATTCCATATGGATGCACAGATGTGATAGCCTGGTAAACGCTTCCTAATCATAACCAACTCTTGCTTTAATAATAAATCCCTTACCCGTACGCCCACTGACGCTGGTTCCCTGACGGGGAAAGTGCTTCGGCCATTGGCTTAGGCCATAAGCTGAAGTATGGCCGAGAAGCTTGCCCCCCGCGGCTCTGTGCCCTAAGGGAGCGAAGATCTAGTAAGTGAGAGGGATCTTTATACAGATGACGATTATATCCACCCGTTATTTGAGAGAGAGCAGCTGGAGAGACACTAGCATAATCTGAGAAAATCTGGAGTGCCACAGAGAAATTGCCGCTCATACCCAATAATTGTCAATAAGAATGCACCAGAAAGCAGCGATTATGACACAGAAGATATGCTTGAAGGAAGGAGGTGCCTAAGGGATCAGCAAGACAATTTCTGCCAGGTTTCAAGACCAAGACCATTCTATGCCACACTCGTTGCTGGTACCTCAACCAGGAGGAAGCATCCTCTGGAGAGGAAGCTACCCAGGTCTGTTAGCATACATTCTCCAGATGGTGTTATTAACTGTAAGTTGCTGCTTGAATACCTCAACCAGCAGGGGTTGCAGCCAAAACTGCTCAGGCTTTTATCGAACAATGACGCAGAAATTACGTATGTCACAATCAAGGATAGGGACAAGTTTTATAGGCTCTCTTTCGTCTCTAGGCCTGCTGCACGATCCTGGGAACCAAGGATGAGAAACCCACCACAGTTTGGGTGCGCATCCACAACAAACCAAAGGAGCTTCTCTTTGA